CTCAAGTTCTTGTATTGGATCAACAACCAAGGAATTATCTTGAAGGGCTCCATGAGATTGGATTGGTTGAGTTTGAGTGAAAAATAGCAAAACAAAAATTGGAGAAGAAAGACAATCATGAAGTTTTGCAAATATATATATATATATATATTTCTTGGAAAATAATATTTCTAATGACTCAAATTCTATGGAGTTTGGATCATAATATAGAAAGTCTTTTTGATGAGGAGAATATCCAAGAAAAGTACATTTAATAGATTGTGCAATAAGCTTGTTGAGTACTTGTGAAGGAAGATGGACATAACACAAAACCAAAGATACGAATAATGGAGTAATTAGGTAGGTGACCAAATAACAGTTAAGGAGGATTCATTATTGAGTGATGGAGATAAAAATTTGTTTATAAGATGAGCATTGGAAATGACTTCACACCAAAATCTTGATGGCATATGAGATTTTAGTAAAAGAATGTAAACAACATCAAGCAAATAATGATTTTTCCGTTTAGCTAGGTAATTTTGTTTTGGGTAGAATGGCATGACCTTTAAGATATAATGTTATTAAATTGCAAGAATTCTTGAAATGAATGCGATATGTATTCTCCCCCGTTATCTTAGTAAAGAATTTTGATTTTGAAGATTCTAAACATAAGCATAAAAAATTTAAAAGTGAAAAACACTTTATCTTTTAAGCGTGAAAAATAGATCCAATTAAAACGACTATAATCATCAATAAAGGTTACAAAGTATTTGTAATGAGCAATAAATATAATCAGTATCACCCCAAAACATCACTATGAATTATATCAATTTTATCGTTAAAACTAAAAAATAAAACATAAAATTTATTAATTATTTAAGAGTAAAATTTAAATAAAATTTTTGTCTTAGGCCTAAAATTTGTTTAATACTGCTCTAGAATTTGGTACACAAAAAAATTATTTTTTTCAAAAATATGACATCCAAAAATATTAGATTTTTTTTGTTTAATTTATTATTTAAAAATAACATTTCTAGAAATATTATTTATTTTTCTTGCATAGATTTTTCATGGAAATATTCTTATGAGTGTGATAAATTAACTTCTTTGAAATAATATATATATATATAT